TTCCTTCCTTCCTCTCTCTCTCTCTCTCTCCTTCTTCCTTCCTCTCTCCTCCCACCCTCTAATGCTCCTTCTGTTTCACTCTCTCTCTCTCTCTCTTTCTCCCTCCTTCCGTCTCTTTCACACTCGCGTTCGCCCGTGACGTTATCAAGCGTGGAACGTGAGGAATAGTCGGGAATTGGCGGGACAGGAGGGAACAGTCTCCCCCTGGGAGAGACGGGATAGATAAATAAATCGGATGGATATAATATCGTCGAACAACGGGGAGGAGAGCGTCGTGAAAATTATAATTTCCAGTGAATCGGCGGGGTATCATATCGCGACGATATAGAAGGGTATCGTGATAGTTTCATATATATATATATATATATATATATACGATCGTGATCCCAATCCCGAGGAGGAAGGAAGATATTATAATTGGAAAGAAATCGGTCTCCAAGTGTCGTTGGCAAGTGTTGGTGGCGAAGGTCAAGGGCCGATCTATGCCCGAACGCGTCACCACCGATTTGGACGATTCGGCGAGGGTGGTGATAGCGTGCTGGATGGTGGAGGAGGAGAGGAGGAGGAGGAAGAAGAAGAACACGAGGAAGAGAAGAAGAGGAAGGGCGTCGCAGTGAAAGTTCGCGGTGGCCGGCCATCCTCCGAGTTATTCCTCCGGGAAAATTGGACGATTCCCGATCGAATGCCGCCCACTTACAGACACGATTTCGTGCTCTCGTCGTTGCGGTACGCGATCGGGGGGGGGGACAAAAGTACGTCTCTCTCTCTCTTATCCACTCCTTCCTTTTTTTTTCCCTATTCTCTTCTTCTTCTCTCCACGCGCGCATCCACGTGTGTCCCGTCTTCGGTCCTGCATCTTCCCTCCCCCGCCCCCTTTGCCTCGGTGCTGAGCCGAGGTGGTGAACAAGGCCGAACAAGTGATCTCACGAGGAAGAAACGCTGATCCAGGTCGAGGGTGAACGAAGAGAAACGAAGACGACGAAAAGTGCCTCGCTCTGTGGATAGATTTATAAGGGAAGGTCCTGAGGACATCAACAATTCCACTCTGGATACCACGCTGCTCATATGTAATTATCTCTGTTTATCTCTTTCTCGCGCGCGCACGATGGCTGGATATTTATGTATATATATATATCGGTCGAGGAATATTTCGAATAAATACCATCCAGCCATCGTGTCGCCCAATTTAAATCTAATTTAAATTGTAAATATCGTAGATATCGTGTTAAATGTCTCTCCTTGTAGGCCTTCGATCACGAATTTTCCGAGGGAAATCGTTCGTAATAATAAGAATAATTCGAGAAAATCGTTCCACGAGTTTTCTTCTAGGTAGGACAAACGTCGTCGCAACGATTTTTTTTATCAATCGATTCCTGCTCAGAATTTCTTCTACCACATACGTCACTCGAGTTACCACGCTTTCTAACGATAGAACAACCCGTGTCTCGTATTCACGATCGAAGTTGCGAATTCCGGCCGACTTTTTTTCCTCTCTTTCTTTTTCGTCCGCTTCTCTCTCTCTCTCAGAATATCGTCACGAGGTATCATCCTCGAACGATGTAGGATGTTAAACTTAACGACAAGGCAAGCTGGTTATCCTTGGACTTTCGCAATTCGTGATGGACGATATATATATATATATATCGTAAAGGAAGGTCAGGTCTACTTGTTTGAATGGACTGGAATTCTTCCGGAACAGTGTTGAGGAAGGATTGTTTAGAGAGTGCTACCGATGCGACCCAGAAAGTAAGAAGTCGAAGACACTAGAAATTGAGAAATCAAGGAAACACGGCGTAAAAAAAGATATTACATCTGGCGAATTTATCGGATAATAAACCATCTGATACGCCTGTTTTGTGACGCTTATTGGAATGAGAGAGAGAGAGAAAATTGGTATTTTACGTAACACGGATGGTTGGAAGTATATATTTATATAATTTATAGGAAATTTGAATCGGTATGGAAATCTTGCCGAATCGAAAAATATCGTCAGAATGAAAAATGTTTACGATTTGCGATTATCCAACAAAAAGAATAATTTCGATTGGGGGAGAAAAAAGGATGGTGATTGAAAGCAATTGACAATTGAAAATATCGTTATCCTTCGATTCGTTTCGAGAGGCCGTTCGCAACGTGTCAGTGGGACCTGGCACTAAAACCTAACAGTTAGTAACGGGTACTGGTAACCGTGTCATAAAGGAGGATCCTCCGCAGCATGAAAGCATTTCGGTATTTCGGACCGCGTGTACCCAAGTGTATATATTAACGACTCGAAATCTCGTCGTAAAAATTTGACAGCTTTCGTGGCCCGACCGCCAAACAACGAACGAAACCTCGATCCGTCGAATTGTGTTCATTTTTTTTTATTCCCAACAGTATTTTATTATACTGTTATTCCGTCCAACAACGAGAGATTTTTAATAAAATCGAGTGTTAAGTTAAATTAAAAATCGAGTTTCCATCGATCGAAAGGTTGCGACGAAAATTGCACCATCGTATCGTGTATATTCAGAAGTAGTTAAGAAATTCTGTTTTCGCGTCGAGTTTCAGTCCGAGTTAACCGTTGAATAATAATAACGAGGGTAAAACCGTTTCTGGATAGATATTTATTTCACGAGAGATATCTTTGTTCACGATCTTGGCGATCTTTGTCTGTCGCAATCGCGTGGCATGGAGTGCCGTTTCTTCCAACGCTTTCGTCTTTCGTTTTCGAGAAACGACAAATCATACGTGTCCGGGCCATACATTCGTTCGAACGAATAAATTTTATCTTTATCGTTCTCTGCCTTTCCTCGTTCTGTTCCGCAAATTTACGATCGTAACCGATCCGTCACGTTACCTCGTCGTCTCTCTCCTCCTCCTCCTCCTCCTCGAGAAACCGATTACACGTTACACCACGCGCCTCTTTATTCGGAAACAACGTCCTTGCCCTTGACCGAGACCACGAAATTTCGAATCCATCGCCGCGCAATTTCCATCGAGCATCGAGCAACACGTACCTTACCTACACGTCGTACGATATACGCACACATACGCAACATATATATATATTATACGCGCAAAAAAAGCTAGATATCGGCGAGCAATACGCGTCTCTTTCTTTCTCTCTCTCTCTTTCTCTCTCTCTCTCTCAGTGGTTCTTTGACATTTAGAGAAGGCGACACGGCTATTAAGGTATTCGGATATCGAGGAGCGAAGAAGAGGAACGAAGTAGGAAAATAAGGAAGATTACACGTAGATACGAAAGAGAGAGACGGAGGCTGGCGAGGAGAAATTTCTCCCGAGTGACTTCCTTTAGCTTTAGCGGACGGCCTCGAGTGGTGGGGGAGAGGAAGGGAAAGGGGAGGGGGAGGGGTGGAGGAGGGGGGGGGATCGACGTGTTGGCGCGAGGTTGTAGACATCTCGCGAGGCGGTTCGTTGCTCCACGATGCCAATCCACGATTGGCTCGAGCGTGCAGTGTCAGTGTCACGAGCATTCGGTTCGATTTCTCGCCGGTGTGCTCGTATTTCGGCCAATTACGAGCACGGTCGGTCGGCCAACATATTCCCGGGAAAATTCGTCACGCTCGAGTAAATTGGACAACAGATTCGACCTAGGTCAATGCTCCAATATTGCATATTGGTCCGCGTTTCAGCAAGTGTATACCTTCTTCTTCTTCTTCTTCGTCTTATTCTTTTCTCTCTCTCTCTCTCTCTCTCTCTCTCTCTGTTCGAGAGTAAACATCTCGAAATACCTTCTTCTTCTTCTTCTTCTTCTTCTCCTCCTCTTCCTTCTTCTCCTCGATTCGAGATATCTCGTCCCTCGTTTGATGGAAGATAAACGAAGGAAAGGATAAGAGGCGAGAGTTTCGATACACGCACGCATTCTGCACTGCGGATCTTCCGGGAACGAGAGAATCGAGGACGAAGAAAGAGGAAGCGGCTGTGAAATTGTAAGCAACTCGGTAGGAAAAGAGGAGTCAGGGAGGCTGTTTTTACGAAGGAGCAACCTGAGCGAAGAAAGAGAGATGTGGGGGCCCGTTGGATATGATCCAACGATTCCAAGAGAAACGAGAAGAGAGAGAGAGAGAGAGAGAGAGAAGAGAATTACGGAGGCAGAAAGGGAATGCCGTTGGAGGGACGAGGAAGGAGAGAGGAACGAGAAGGAAGAGAGAATAACAGAGTGGTGGGGTATTCCCTGGTGGTAGCGGCGTGGCTCGAGAGTAGGTCAGTGTACCACATTAACCGGTATTCCAAAGCCAGGCTAGGCAGGGTGGGGGGAGGGCTTCCGACTCGTCAGTTCCGCAAGCGATCTATAGATATACCTCGCGTCCACGGTCGCGTCCCCTCGGTGCTCGCCTCGCTTTGTTCATCGCCGGTGGATCTCTTACCGAGTACCGCTACTCTTCCTCCTCCTCCCTCTCGATTCTCCGCATCTGCATCGATCTCTTCGATTTAATTAACCGCGAATTCGAATCGCCAATCGGCACGCGAATCGGCTCGAATTATATATCTCGCTTATCGCCGGGATATATATACACATATACACATCCATATATATATATATATATATA